TTATTTATCATTGCCACACAATTTTTTCTTGTTCGATTTTTCTTCCATTTTCTCTATTAATTTCTTTTCCTTTTCACTTCTTTCTTTCATTTTTTTCTTTCATTTTCTCTTAGATAGAAAAATATAGAATAATCACACGAAGGTTGATAATGAACGATAATACTTAGGACAAGAACACCACATATAAGATTCGCCAGCAGCGCGTAGAAGTGGTAGTCAACTGTTAGAAGTGAGTCAAGTGAATTCCACATTGACTCTTCAACTGCATGATATCAACCAACTGCCCCACGCGATCAAATGTGGCACAAGGCTGAATTTAATGTGGGGTATCCGAGCCCGTAGGTTCGGCCAAAAATTCTCCGTAGACCCGGTATAAAACGGTGCCGGCTCGCTGTTTCCCGAGACGAGACACTGCCCCTCGACATAGCCTCGTCTGGAGATCCCCTCAGCCTGGTGGCAAAAATTTTGACTAGCACAACTGGAGGCGAATCTCCAAATGCAGGATATCTACTACCCACACACGAGGTCAAATATGGAACAAGACCGGATTTAATGTAGGGTATCGGAGCCCGTAGGCCAAATTTCCCCGTAGAAGCCGTATAAAACGGGGTCGGATGGCTGTTTCCCGAGACGAGACTTTGCCTTTCGACACTGCTTCTCGTTTTGTTCATTTGCCAGCGGTATGTAAATTAAACCAAAATTCGAATTCAAGTCTGTGTAGAAGCTATTGACATTCCCGAGCTATTGTACTTGAAAAGGCATAAATCCAATCTTCCCTGTTCTATTCAGCATTTCTTTCAATCATTAATATTTATAATTACTTCAAACGTTTTCCAAAATAAAATCCATTTAATTCTTTAGAAAATGCTTTGTTTACTTTTTGAATACGAAACTAAACGTACATATTCTCCGGGAAAATTTGAACGTGTCAGTTTGGTTTAAAGGTAAAGCCATCTGGCGTGGATCGAACTGATAACGCTATGTAAAGCGCTGTTTTGTTTTGTTTTTTTTTTTTGGGGGGGGTCCCAAATGTTAGCTCTTGCTTCGTTTATCAGGGAGACATTTCCTTGTCACTACTGGGATTTCTGCATATTTTGTGTGAGGTGTCTGCTTGAAAAAGCGTTGTTTAATGAAGAATACATTTAACCTAAATAATGACTTCTGCGCGTCTCAGCTTCTCGGAGCGAGGAAGGCCAGCGACAGAAGAAGGAGAAGGCGCGTAGGAAAAATTGAAATCCCATCTGTACAAATATACAACGAGAAGATACTGCTGTTAGGGACATCAACAGACATCTGGAATTGCTATTGACATCTTTCGGTGAAGTTCATTTGGCTTGAAAGCGAAGGTAGATGCAACATAATGACGACATCAGTTCACTTGTTGCGAGGCCTATGTTCGTAACTTAGGAAATAACAGAGAATTTGGCATCAACGTGTTAATTGCGTAGTTTTCCGATTTGTGCACAACCCGGCTTGACATTAATGAGATTATTGACAATGGAACAGAATATTGAATGTCACTTTCTTATAATGGGATTTAATATAATACTGATGTTATTTTTTATGACAAAATTCCATGTCTTTTCAGATTGCTGACGACTACGGCTCTTCAGACTTTAGGCTTTTTATTTTGGGGGAATTGACTTCATGGAAATAGAGTGGAGGGTTTCCTGCTGCCTTCTCCACGTTTTCAAATTCAGAATTTTCATTCTCTTAGATTAGTTGTTACACTTAATAATTAACGGCCACCGGGCGTCACAAAACTTTCCTCTGAGCATTTGCGTGAAAGTGAAAATTGTGTTTTCTTTTATTTATCTTTCTTTCGTTCTTTTTCACTTCATCTTTCTTTCTTTCCTTTTTTTTTTTTTCATCCTTTCTTTCTTTCTTCCTTTCTTTCTTTCTTTCACTTCATCATTTTTTCTTTTTTTCCTTTCTTTCCTTTCTTTTACTTCATCTTTCTTTTTCTTTCTTTCACTTCATCTTTTTTCTTTTTCTTTCTTCCTTTCTTTTTCTCTTTCCTTCCTTCTTTCTTTCTTTCTTTCACTTCATCTTTCTTTCTTTTTCTTTCTTTCTTTCCTTTCTTTCTTTTACCTCATCTTTATTTTTCTTTCTTTCTTTCACTTCATCTTTCTTTCTTTTACTTTATCTTTCTTTTTCTTTCTCTCTTTCACTTCATCTTTCTTTCTTTTTCGCTTTCCTTCTTTCTTTCTTTCGCTTCATCTTTCTTTTTCTTTCTTTCTTTCACTTCATCTTTCCTTCTTTCCTTTCTTTCTTCTTTTCTTTCACTTCATCTTTCTTTCTTTTACTCTTTCCTTCTTTCTTTTACTTTATCTTTCTTTTTCTTTCTTTCTTTCACTTCATCTTTCTTTCTTTTTCGCTTTCCTTCTTTCTTTCTTTCACTTCATCTTTCTTCTCACTTTCTTTCTTTCTTTTCTTTTACTTCATCTTTCTTTTTCTTTCTTTCTTTCACTTCATCTTTCCTTCTTTTCTTTCTTTCTTTATTCCTTTCTTTCACTTCATCTTTCTTTCTTTTACTCTTTCTTTCTTTTTTCTTCTTTCCTTGCCCTTTTCAACCACTTCTTCCATTTCTTTATTCTTTCTTTTTATTTCTTTTTTTTATTTTTGTTTCTTTCACTTCTTCTATTTTATTATTCTTTCTTTCCTTTTATAATTCCCCCTTTTATCCTTCTTTCTTTTTTCTTATTACTTCTTCGTTTTATTTCCCGTTTCTTTCTTTTTTTTACTTCCATTTTGCATTTCATTTATTTTATTTTCTATTTTTTTCTTTCAATTTTTCTTGTATGATTCTTTGTTTTTCTTCTTCCACTCCGTCTTTCGTTTTTTCTTTCTTTCTTTCCTTTTTTCTCACTTTCTTTCTTTCTCTTTCACTTCATCTTTCTTTTTTCTTTAACTTTTTTCTTTCACTTCATGTTTTTTTCTATCTTTCTTTCTTTCTCTTTCAATTCATCTTTCTTTCTTTCCTTTCTTTATTTCTTTTCTTTCTTTCTTTCATTTCATCTTTCTTTTGTCTTTTTCTTTCTTCCTTTCTTTGTCTTTTTCTTTTACTTCATCTTTCCTTCTTTCCTTTCGTCCTTTATTCTTTTCTTTCTTTTACTTCATCTTTCTTTCTTTTTCTCTTTCTTTTTTTCTTTCTTTTTTCTTTCTTCCAAATTACTTGACTTCTTTTGACTTCTCACATTTTGTCTTTTTTTTTCATCATATTTTCCCTGGTATGTAACTTTTCTTTCTTTCTTTCTTTCTTTCTTTCTTTCTTTCTTTCTTTCTTTCTTTCTTCTCACTCTCTTTCTTTCTTCCTTCCTTTCTTTCTGTCTTTCTTTCTTTTTTTTATTATTTCTTCCACTTCTTACTACTTTTTATGTTTCGTTTCTTCTTTTCTTCTTCTTCCATTTTCCATTTCTTTTTCTTTCCATTTTTCTTTGTTTCATTCTTTCTTTGTATGATTCTTTCTTTTTCTTCTTCCACTTCGTATTTCTTTCTTTCTTTTTCTTTCTTCTCTCTGTCTTTCTTTCTTCCATTTCTTTTTTTCTGTGTTTCTTTCCAATTTCCATCTTGTTTCTGTCGTTTTTGTTTACCTTTCTCACTTTATTGCCCCGGGGAGCTTTCCGCTTTACGCTTGTGGGGCATTGCAACTGTCGCAGTGGCAATTTTGACCAGCAGGCTGAGTTCCCATTGTTGCAGTGACTGTCACGTTCATTTTCTCACAAATACCCTTTAGGTTGGTTACCAGATTAGAACGAAGAAAACACTGAATCTCAAATCGGTTGGGTGTGGAGCTAAACACTTCACCCTTTAATATCTACTCGCTACAGAAATGAACGTGGTGAAGCTGTTGTCCTATGCTCCACAGGAAAGTCTACAGTTCAGAACATCTCTTATGATTAAATCTGACCGATTATTTCTGCTATCTCAACCCAGATCCATTTGTTGCTGAGTCCGCTTTTCTTATCCCCAAGACCCGTTCAACTTTTCATCTGATATCTCGACTCAAATGGCAAAATAAACTCTGAGAACGACTTTCACTTTGGGAGACAGCAATCATCTTAACGTTTTGTGTTTCGTTTTGACAAATAAAGAACTGCATTTTAGGAACAAGGTTGATTTCTGTTTATATAAACATTCGTTTCTAATCAATTATCGAATATCAGACTTGTTTATAGAAGCAGAATAAATCCACATTTAGATCCATTACAATTTTGAACAACTTAGATAAGCTCACCAGAGGACGTCGTCTTTGGGAAGTTATTTTTTTCATAATGTTTTAAAAAGCTTCTTGTCTACATAATTATTTAGAATAAAAAAAAATCTTATTACCACCAACGTTGTACTCGGAGCTCCATATGTTTGCGAATACAATTATTTTTAAAAAGTGAAATTAATTTAATAAATCTACCGGTTTAGAAATCGAAGTCTTATTAAACAAAATGTCTCTCTCGGCAGGAACTGAATTATAGTTGATTGATTGCGTTTTTTTTTTCTACGGCCTATCAAACTTTTACGGGTTATTTAAAGGCAGAAAAATGTGTGTGCTGTAAGAGTTCTTAAAGAGCTAATAAAGGTTTACTATTACAAGTTATACTAGTTAACCCATAGTTGGGGAGATGTTATGGAGTGATTTCACAGTGGAGGCTTGTATTTGTACTAAGTCGGTCCTAAAATAGGTTCGACGTACAAAACGTTAGGAACTTGATATAATAGGTATAACGCAAAGTAATCTAGTTGTGGTCGCTAGTATCCGACTAACGGTCGTCCGTCATCGACTGACTGAGAGCGACTGACTAGTTACTCTTACTACTCCTACTTCTTATAGGTGGGAGAGTCTATTAACTATAGAATAGCTGTGTTCCACTATAACAGGAGAGAAGATGTGGGTTCATAAGGGTATTTGTGCGTAAGTGAATATAGCGAACACGACTGGAACTCAGTTCCCGGATTTCAAATTCCGAGCCATTAACCATTTCATCACGCGCACGTCCAACCATATAACACCTGATATTCCCAAGCGGTCACCCATCAAGGTACTGACCAGGCTCGACTTTGCTTAACTTCAGTGGACATACGAGATCCGGTGTTTCCATGTCTTATGATCGTAAACCGAACTATATAGTTGTTATAACCTAAACAAGGTCACTGAATGAGGAATAACCAAAACGGAGGTTGGAAATGGAATGGTAATCTTTAGAACATCAACAAAATATAATACTCGCCAGCGACGTGAAGTAGGTAAACCACTGATAGTGGTGGACTACATAGAGACCATATTAGCCCTATTTACAATAGTGTCCAACATATTTATGAGGATTGAGACATAGGTACGGTATATAACACACACACACACATACACCTAGTTAGCCAGACAAACCTACCTAGGTTTCACCTAAACGGATCGTCAGGAAACTTTCCCTGAGGATCCGTTTAGGTGAAACCTAAAGGTTTGTCTGCTCACTAGTGTATCTAGGTCTGCTCTACGGTTGTATTGAGCTCTTTTTGTTAGTTAGTTGTTACTCGTATCAGGTTTTTTTTTCTTTGGGCTTCAGACCTGCATCTGTGCGATTTTTTGTCGGCGAAGTTCATGTTTGTAGCTCTTTTTTTTTTAAAACCTTTTTTTTTCCCCTCGAGATTGATTTGATTAGCAAATCAAAAAATTCGAGGGTTTTTCGAAACGAGTCTAGTTATCTATATATATATATATATATATATATATATATAGTGGACTCTCCCGTCGTATTAGACGTATGAGGGTCAAGTAACTCAGTTCCTAGGAACCAACAGCCAGACACCAGTGGTTAAGGCTTTGTGCAAAATCAACCACCTTTTTTGAAGGGCTGAATACAGAGACCTGGTGCACCACGTGCCACAATTTCCCCAAACGATCTTTTTATGCCCTTCTCTGCTTGAAATGAGTCCAGCTGTCAGCTTATACGTCTGGTAGAGGTGTTAGTCACCGCTCGGGTACTACAAGGTACCTCAGTTTCATAATTACGATATTAAAACAAATAAAAAACCCATCTGAAAATGTAATGTCTTTTCCTAAATAACTGCGGGGAGGGGGGTTAACCATCGCTTACACTCTTCCAAAATGCACTGAAAGTTGCAGAACTGAAGAACAGGCTGATAAAAACTAAGAATACCACATCTAGACTCTCCACATGCGATCAGGGAAGATCTCAGCAGTACCAGATTAATGTGACAACCGCGATCAGGGGATCAGTCCAGCGGCTTCGGGCTGATTGCTTGGGCTGACATCAGCGCAGTCTAGGTACCTTAGCGAAAAGCTCGCAGGAACAATGACCATGAAAGTATTTACAGAAACGACACAGAGAGGCAATCTTGCGGCCGTGAGAAATTGACTGAAATCGAGTCGCCAGATTAGGACTAAGATTCTTCTATGGATTTTATCAAGGAACTCAAGGTAAATAGCAGGGGCACCTGACTATATATGGCAGCAATATTTTAAGCATGGACAAATTGAAGACTTATAGAGATATATCAGATAGATTCTGGAGAGAGAAATTGTCTCGCGCAGTGAACTATGTTTTTTTAGCAGTGGACTTGGGTGTAGGCGTGGATTCCTGCTGATTGTAAATGTGGGGTAACAGAGAGACATACAGATGGAAGGTTGTTTTAAATGCGGCCAGAGGAAAGAAGATGCTGCCATTCAAACAGGAACTTTATATACCGGGTGTAACATCAAAATTGTCCAAATCATGTAACAGCAAAATCGTCTAACTGATAAATTAAGCTTTGAACCGTTCTATCTTACTGGAATTCTTCGAGTTTTTTTGTTTTTTTTTGTTGTTTTTTATAAATCTATTGCACTCTACTTTGAACAATAATAATGTATTTAGCTCTAGGTTGAAACGACGATCCCTCTTCTTGTTGGGAGCTCCTCATCCAGTCTTCCTTTCTACTCTTTCCTCTTTTTTAAATTTATTCAGCGTTTTTTAATGGTTCTTGAATGGACTTTGAAGACGGAAACCAGAATACGAATGTTGGTATCATTACTAAAGGCCTTAATGATCTTTTTCCTCTCACTATTACTCAGTTGGGAAGACATAGTGGGGCTGATACAAAATGATTTTGATCCGTTCTCTTTCTAACTGAATAACTCAAAGGGTTTTTCAGTGATTTTCACAACAAATGGTGTCAAGATGGCTAAACGTATTATCTGAAAACCTGCAGAAAAGAAACTCAATTTGTTTAGTGTTTTTTAGATATTAAACATTTTGTGGGATGAACAATTATGCTGTTACAGGATTTGGACAATTTTGTTGTAACAGGAATTGGACAATATTGCTGTTACAGGATTTGGACAACTTAGCTGTTACAGGATTTGGACAATTTTGTTGTAACATGAATTGGACAATATTGCTGTTACAGGATTTGGACAATTTTGCTGTTACAGGATTTGGACAATTTTGTTGTAACAGGAATTGGACAATATTGCTGTTACAGGATTTGGATAACTTAGTTGTTACAGGATTTGGACAATTTTGTTGTAACAGGAATTGGACAATTTTGCTGATATTACAGGATTTGGACAATTTTGCTGTTACAGGATTTGGACAATTTTGTTGTAACAGGAATTGGACAATATTGCTGTTACAGGATTTGGATAACTTAGTTGTTACAGGATTTGGACAATTTTGTTGTAACAGGAATTGGACAATTTTGCTGTTACAGGATTTGGACAATTTTGCTGTTACAGGATTTGGACAATTTTGTTGTAACAGGAATTGGACAATATTGCTGTTACAGGATTTGGATAACTTAGTTGTTACAGGATTTGGACAATTTTGTTGTAACAGGAATTGGACAATATTGCTGTTACAGGATTTGGATAACTTAGTTGTTACAGGATTTGGACAATTTTGTTGTAACAGGAATTGGACAATATTGCTGTTACAGGATTTGGACAATTTTTGCTGTTACAGGATTTTGGACAATTTTGTTGTAACAGGAATTGGACAATATTGCTGTTAGGATTTGGATAACAGTTGTTACAGGATTTGGACAATTTTGTTGTAACAGGAATTGGACAATTTTGCTGTTACAGGATTTGGACAATTTTGCTGTTACAGGATTTGGACAATTTTGTTTGTAACAGGAATTGGACAATATTGCTGTTACAGGATTTGGATAACTTAGTTGTTACAGGATTTGGACAATTTTGTTGTAACAGGAATTGGACAATTTTGCTATTACAGGATTTGGACAATTTTGCTGTTACAGGATTTGGACAATTTTGTTGTAACAGGGAATTGGACAATATTGCTGTTACAGGATTTGGATAACTTAGTTGTTACAGGATTTGGACAATTTTGTTTGTAACAGGAATTGGACAATATTGCTGTTACAGGATTTGGACAACTTAGCTGTTACAGGATTTGGACAATTTTGTTTGTAACAGGAATTGGACAATATTGCTGTTACAGGATTTGGACAATTTTGCTGTTACAGGATTTGGACAATTTTGTTGCTTAACAGGGAATTGGACAATATTGCTGTTACAGGATTTGGATAATTTGGTGTTGTTACAGGATTTGGACAATTTTGTTGTAACACGACGGGAATTGGACAATTTTGCTGTTACAGGATTTGGACAATTTTGCTGTTACAGGAGTTTGGACAATTTTGTTGTAACAGGAATTGGACAATATTGCTGTTACAGGATTTGGATAACTTAGTTGTTACAGGATTTGGACAATTTTGTTGTAACAGGAATTGGACAATTTGATATTACAGGATTTGGACAATTTTGCTGTTACAGGATTTGGACAATTTTGTTGTAACAGGAATTGGACAATATTGCTGTTGGGATTTGGATAACTTTGTTGTTACAGGATTTGGACAATTTTGTTTGTAACAGGAATTGGACAATATTGCTGTTACAGGATTTGGACAACTTAGCTGTTACAGGATTTGGACAATTTTGTTGTAACATGAATTGGACAATATTGCTGTTACAGGATTTGGACAATTTTGCTGTTACAGGATTTGGACAATTTTTTGTAACAGGAATTGGACAATATTGCTGTTACAGGATTTGGATAACAGTTGTTACAGGATTTGGACAATTTTGTTGTAACAGGGAATTGGACAATTTTGCTGTTACAGGATTTGGACAATTTTGCTGTTACAGGATTTGGACAATTTTGTTGTAACAGGAATTGGACAATATTGCTGTTACAGGATTTGGATAATACAGATTTGTTGTTACAGGATTTGGACAATTTTGTTTGTAACAGGAATTGGACAATTTTGCTGTTACAGGATTTGGACAATTTTGCTGTTACAGGATTTGGACAATTTTGTTGTAACAGGAATTGGACAATTTTGATGTTACAGGATTTGGATAATTTTGTTGTTACAGGATTTGGACAATTTTGTTGTAACAGGAATTGGACAATTTTGATGTTACAGGATTTGGACAACAGTTTGTTACAGGATTTGGACAATTTTGTTTTTGTAACATGAATTGGACAATATTATTGTTGGCAGGATTTGGACAATTTTGCTGTTACAGGATTTGGACAATTTTGTTGTAACAGGAATTTGGACAATTTTGCTGTTACAGGATTTGGATAATTTAGTTGTTACAGGATTTGGACAATTTTGTTGTAACAGGAATTGGACAATTTTGCTGTTACAGGATTTGGACAGTTGTTAGGATTTGGACAATTTTGTTGTAACAGGATTTGGACAAGCTGATTTCGACAACTTAGCTGTTGGATAACTTAACAGGAAGGAAGGATTTGGACAATTTTGTTGTTACGGAATTGGACAATTTTGGATAATTTGGACAATTTGTTGTTGCAGGATTTGGACAATTTTTTGTTTGTAACAGGAATTGGACAATTTTGCTGTTACAGGATTTGGACAATTTTGTTTGTAACAGGATTTGGACAATTTTGTTGTAACAGGATTTGGACAATATTGTTGTTACAGGATTTGGACAATTTAGCTGTTACAGGATTTGGACAATTTTGTTGTAACAGGAATTGGACAATTTTACAGGATTTGGACAATTTTGCTGTTACAGGATTTGGACAATTTTGTTGTAACAGGAATTGGACAATGGACAATTTGCTG